ATCAGTGTTGCAGAGAGCATGTACACTCTGACAACACAGCCATTCCTCCTTTACTGGGAAGTACTGACTCTTAAAGGATCATAGGACATCTCTGCCACGCATATCTGAGATGCTTTGGGTTCCTGCAGTGGAGACTCCATGGAACCTTGAGACAATGATGTAACTTTCTTTTTATAACTTGCTTTTACTTTATTTATTTATTTATTTATTTATTTATTTATCTATTTATTTGCCCCTATGTGTGTGGAGCGGAGGGGGTCCATCACTGCACTCAGGTGGCCGTCAATGACAACATGCAGAGTTGGTTCTTTCCTTCCACCATGCAGGTTGTGGGGATCCAGGGATCCAACATGGGTTGTCGGGCTTGGCAGCACCTTTACCGGCTGCATCATCTCACCAGCCCCCAGATTTAAATTGTTATAAAGCAGATTGCTACTTCCATGTGACATTCTTCTCCACATTCTGTAGAACAAAGCTTTAAAGGATCACATCTGGGAGTACACTGTGACAATGTTACCTTGTTAAATTGCTTCTAACAGGCATGGGGCTTCGGCCTGCATTCCTGTCTGTTTCTTCCCCTACTGCATCACAAGGAGTTCCTCAGGATAGGCTGGGCAGCAAGCTCTCCTACTTGAGATTGGAATTACTTCAGTGACTGGTTTTGCTTTCTCTTTCTCAGCATGTCTACTCTAGGAACATTTGGCAGCTGCTTTTGTGCAAGAGCATATAAGCAAATGCTTTTTAAGTAGGCCAAGTAGATTTTTTTATATTTATTCATTTATTATGTGTGTATTATTCATTTATTATGTATGTATGTGGGCCCATGTACCACACAGCTCTAATGTAGAGGTGAAAAGATAAGTAGCAAGAATAGATTCTTGCTTTAGCCCCTGAGTGATTTGGGAATCAAACTCAGTCTTCACACTTGGCACCAAACCACTTTACTCACAGTGATGGTTAGTTTTTCAACTTGACACAATCTAGAATCACCTGGGAAGAGAATCTCAGAGAAGGATGGTCTACATTAAATTGGCCTGTGAGCATATCTATGAGGAATTATATATTAATTGAGGTAGCAGTCCTGACTGCAGTGGGTGTCACCATTCCCTACTTAGGGGATTTTGAGTTGTTTAAGAGAAAGGGAGCTGAGTATTAATCCTTTGCTGTCTGTTCTTAACTGAGGATATAATGTGTCCAATCTTTCAAGCTCCTGCCACTGTGACTTTCTTCATGATAGATTATAACACGAAGTGTGAGTTGAATAAACCCTTTGTCCCTTCAGTTTCTTTTGTCAGAGTATTTTATCACACCACCAGAAAAGAAAAATAAGAGACACACTGAGTCATCCTGCCAGTCCTACTCAAAAGGTTTTGAATCATGTTCACTGTATAGTCATGTGCACCTTACTTAAATTTTAGTGAGAGAAAGGGCTTCAAGAGAGCTGTGTCACAACATAACTGTTGTTAATAACAGTGCAAGGTGTTTGTTAAGCTATAACACATAGATTTTTAGCATTCTCCCTACACAAAAGGTAGCATTTGAAGGAAGGCAGATGTTGATCATTTTATATACTAAGAATATACAATATAGATATGGGCTTGAATTTCTAGAAATTTTTCCATGACAAAATAATCTCCCTAATGACTTCTTTACATCTAAAAATCTTAGGACTTTCATTTCTACAGCAGAACTGCTTGTATTTGTTGAATAGTACTCCAAGTTTATTTGGTTT